ACTTAATGACTCAAATAAACAGAAGGTGATAAAAACTGTCCTTGGCCTACATACATGCAAATTTCTGTTTTCTGTCGCAGTCTATTAAGAAGCTGAAAAGTACCACAAACTTCTTGTCAGAAACATTAAAAAACAGCGACATTCAGGACAAACTGGGGGGGAAAAAACGGCACAGAAGCTGATGCAACAAAGCAGAAGTTCCCCTCACATCTCAGTAAGAATGAAGCCGGGTGCGAGTGTTCCAGTGGAGGGGCACCTGCTTCATTCTGAAGATCTGTGAACCTACATTGTTAGTGACATCGTGCATTACAAATATGCAAAACAGGTGTCACGTGATGTGGACGTGCATCTTTCTCCATACAAATCACTCTTCCATGATAAGCGACATAGATTTGCGATGTAAAACCTAAAGAAAACTTTCATGGTTCATTGCAACAATCCTTCACTTCTTGTTTCATGGTGACGATTTTTTGCTACTCCTTTAGGGAATATTCCTTATTTTTAAGAAATATAAAAATAACAATTTTTTAATTTTATAGCATCTTAAAATCAATTCCCTACACATAAACATAACCAGTTCCCCTTCCTCTGTCTTTATGGCAACTGTTGGTGTGGTGTCAAGAAGTTGTGGGCCTAGGCCTACCTCCATGAACTTCTCCGTTCACTTCGGTTTTTCTAGATCTTACACATTCGGTAGGACTCCTTGGGCGGGTGATCAGCTCGTCGCAAGGCCTCTACCTGTACACAAACACAGAAAAACGCACACACACAAACTAAACATCCATGCCCTGAGTGGGATTCGAACCCACGATCCCGGCTTCCGAGCGAGCGAAGACAGTGCATGCCTTAGAACGCTCGGCTACCGTGACCGACAGTGTATAAGAATAATATATAAGAATTCAGTTGGTACCTCACAGGAAACAGATCCGAACCCACGATCCCGGCTTCCGAGCGAGCGAAGACAATACATGCCTCAGACCGCTCGGCTACCGTGACCGGCAATAAAATACCAGTACATGGAGGAATTCGAATGGGACTACTCACTCCTTGACTGATGAATGAAAGACACAGATAAAAAGTTTAACTCTCTTGAATTACAGATACCAACAATTTACACGCCTTTGTAAAACAGATATATGAATTCTGAACATACTTTGTTTGACCTAATCCATTGATCACACGAAGAATGAAATAACTATCCTTACAGTGATCTCTGTACAACTCCCTTCGGTTTATATGCAAGAGAGCAAATTGTTTTCTCTTCGCTGAGCAATTCCTTAGTCGCCTCTTCACCCATTGATCTTCCATTGATCACACGAAGAATGAAATAACTATCCTTACAATGATCTCTGTACAACTCCCTTCGGTTTATATGCAAGAGAGCAAATTGTTTTCTCTTCGCTGAGCAATTCCTTAGTCGCCTCTTCACCCATTGATCTTCCATTGATCACACGAAGAATGAAATAACTATCCTTACAATGATCTCTGTACAACTCCCTTCGGTTTATATGCAAGAGAGCAAATTGTTTTCTCTTCGCTGTGCAATTCCTGGGTCACCTCTTCACCCTGTCTAATTTTTTTTAATGAGATTCCATGTTCCGTCCGGCACTCTGTTTTGTTTCCTGGAATATATTGCATGCAAGGTAGAGAGTTTAATTGCTGACCGCATTTCAAAAGCGAAGCGTAGATTCCCTTCTTTGTCACGATCACCAATGACTATTTCACTTTGATAATTAAAGCATGTTGCACCTACATTAACTAGATGGATGAATGAAGGACCTTTGGCCGTAATTGGTGCCAAGATCAATTAGACATGTGCTTAATGAAACTTGTTACTCTCTTGTCATTGATCCTTGTCTACGTTTCCCCCCCCCCCCTTGGCACTACAGTCCCAGTGGGCCTAGGCCTACCTCCACGAACTTCTCCGTTCATTTCGGTTTTTCTAGATCTTACACATTTGGTAGAACTCCTTGGGCGGGTGATCAGCTCGTCGCAAGGCCTCTACCTGTACACAAACACAGAAAAACGCACACACACAAGCTAAACATCCATGCCCTGAGTGGGATTCGAACCCACGATCCAGGTTTCCAATCGAGCGAAGACAGTACATGCCTTAGACCGCTCGGCTACCGTGACCGGCCTTGCTTACGTTTACTTCGCTCCAGACACAGACAGAATAAGCCTACAGTAACATGTCACTGGATTCGAAGGAAGCGAAACTTGCATTTATGTCGTATCCTTCACCACGACAGACGCCGCCGAGTGGCTCTAAGATTTCAGCTGTAATTAGGTATACGGCGTTTGCTCTTCTTAAGTCTCTTTCACGACTGTCAAAGTTCTATACGTATGGACGTCTCTTGTAATAGTATTTGAATTGATTGACGAATTTTAATGGATCTTGATATGGGCACCATGCCATTAGAAAACACTGCACCTTTGTAACGTGTTATAATAAGCATAACTTTCATCGTACTCAGCAGATGAATAAATAAATTTGTTTTAAAAATGCACGGCATAATTCAGTTCTGTATATAACTGTATTAGAAGGCAAAGTAACAGCAAATACGGACGTGACTGGACCACTTTCGCTTAGGAAACCAAAGCCAGTCTCTGATCTGGTTCACTCTCCCATCATTTTGTTAGTACAAAGACACACCTTCACCGGTCTCTACACAACCCACAGCTAAATGAATAGGAACAAAACGAAGATCGCTTCATGAACTTTCTCCACGAATCCGTTGGAATCACATTCTTTTCCACCAACAGCAATCATATTGTGTTAGCAGAATATTTGCAATTTAAAATTCGTTCTCATGAGGTCATCGTTCATATACGTAATGGCGAAAGATTCGAAACTGTTCTTCTGTCTTCACGGCAGTGACCCGCACTAAATTATCTTCAGGCTGTGTAAGCATATTCTACAATTACGTGCATTTTTGTGTGATGCTACGAATTCTGAACCAGTGCTTTGAATTTCATTTCTAATATTAAGGTGTGCACTTCTTCCTCTGCACCGATTGCTGTCATAACCACTGCAACTGGAGGAATTTGCTTTCCGCGCCCTCTTCAAGGATTATTCTATTTCGAAAAGAACGATAGAAACACAGAATGGAAGGTGGAAACAGACAAATGGGAAGACGGAAAGATGAATAGACGTGTAGGCCTAGATGTCTGGAAACACGTAGGACAAATATATGGATAGACGGATGGACGGACAGAGTAGGCTGGCGAATAGATACAGGAAAAAAAAACGGAGAAAGAAAGCAAATCTGAATTGACCCCCTTAAGGCGTAGATGAAACTTGTATTTGATCACAGAGGAATGAAACAGTGGCCTCCTATAATGAAAGTTGTCATGCTCCAGTCAGTAGAACGTCTTCCAGTCGCCAGCCTGAAAAAAATAAAGATGTGTGGTGTTGAATACGAAATTCTCTACGTGGTTCAGAAAATTAAGACTCATTCTGTCAACCGTTTCTACGCAACCTTACAGTCGTTGCCGGGAAATGGGCAATTTAAAACTAAATGCATAACTCCCTGTAAGATAAACGGAACCCTCAACGCCAAAATACTATGACCGTAAAATAGATACCGTCTTGAGCCAGTGCCACCCGACTTCTGTTCGGGGATTCATTTTAATATTATTTTCGTATATTCTTTTGAAACATGAAAATCGTCCCTTTCCACGTAGTTCTACCATAAAAATTCTGTGTTCGATTTCTGTCTCTCCGACTGAATCAGATGTGCAGTGACCTGCGCAGATCGCGAAGCTGACTTAATTCAACCGTCTTCAGGGCCAGCTATTTTCTGGCTGCGTTGTTTCAGAAGGCTTACACGTCAGAATAGTGGCGGCTGGAGTCAAGATACTCTGTCCAAACATTTGTAGTTGTATTTGATTGTGTCACTGAGGTGAAGATTCATAATTGTGGACTTGTGGGTTACGACAACGTGTAACCTAATAGGTGGAAATCTACCGTCTTGAAAACCTCAAACCTCATATGGACCTATGCAACTTCTGTGGAGGAGCAACAAATAACGCGCTACCTACCTGCCACAAGAAACGGTGCCATAGCCCATAAAAACATAATATTAAAGTGTAGTAAGCCTAGTATATCTTCCTATTACAGGCGATGTATTAAATAGTCTCTGAAGGCATCCGTGTTCGTGCTTCATCTGAATATTTTATAAGAAAACAATATTCCAACATCTCCATTTAAAGTAACCCGTATCTTTTCAGAATTACAGTGTACTGGTCTGTCAGTAAATGCAGAGAGGATTTCCCTTTTCCGACTGCTAATAGTGAAAACAGGATTGGCCGGTTTATGTGTCTTTGCATGGGCAATATTAAAGAATTGTAAGTGCATGGTGAAGAAACTGAGCATCAGGAGACCTCTTGTATTTTATTGTCTACAAATCAAGAAGTTGTGGGAAGAACTAATTGCCTACCTTCCTTTGTTATGACACTGGAGCATGGAAAACGATACCTCAAAATGTTTTCGTTGCTACGGGAACGTGCTCACCGAGCCGTTGCCTGGAAACGATACAGAAACACAGAGGTACAGACTTTTCTTTGATACGATGCGGGCCGTATAGAAAACATATGCATCGAACAATATTTCTATTGTTGCTCCGTATTCCTTTCCGCGGAACTTGTTTACTGAGCCGTTGCATATCGACGATAAGGGGATACAAATAAGACACACAGGTCTCTTCTGGCTTCACTACTCCGGTTTCAGGCGTGCTGAGCTCATATGCCTCATTTTACTTTTCAAAATAAAGAAAGAAGGCTAGCGATATATATCATAAATATAATCTGTTTATTGCTACCAATTTGATCGCTAATTATACGAGTAGGTCAAAGTGCAGAGTGCAATTTCGTATTCCCTAATACCAGCTTAGCAATAAATGAGCGCTCTAGGCACAAGAGAAGAGAGGGACATTACGATAATCTATGTTTTGATTATAAGATTTGAGTGATTATAGTCACCATTATACATGCATCAGAGTCAGAGCATTGTGTCTCAGCAGTGGAATGCCCTTCACGGTTTCAACAGCATTGTGTCTCAGCAGTGGAATGCACTTCACGGTTTCAACAGCATTGTGTCTCAGCAGTGGAATGCACTTCACGGTTTCAACAGCATTGTGTCTCAGCAGTGGAATGCACTTCACGGTTTCAACAGCATTGTGTCTCAGCAGTGGAATGCACTTCACGGTTTCGGTGTCTCAGCACTGGGCTACCTGCCCCAGGATAATGACTGAGTCTCAAGTTATTTAACGACCAATTTTACAAAAGACAGGCTACTCTAAATGTTAATAATTTCGAAGGAAGCATTCGCGACGTGTTTCAAGGTCTGGTTGGGAGCAGGCGATTAAGAGTGTTACTGTTAACTGCTTTGTCATGATATTACAGAGGCGATATAAACTCGCAGGCTACACAACAAAACACTTGAGCATCCTTCTTGGGAACTTTCTCCATTTCCTTTATCACGGTGCTCCAGTAGAGTGACCTGGAGTGGTCTTGTTCAAACTGTGTGTTGGCGACACATCAGCGGTTCGCGTTATACGAGTTTATGCATGCCAAACCGATCACCTTAAATATTATAAAAAACAAAACAAACTCCGTACCCTGTAGTCCGCAAGTGAACTATACCGACCGAGCGACCGCCGCTTGACGGCGTAGTTAGTGCCAACTGTAGCGGATAGAGGGTGCCGCGTTGTCAGCTAAACGATTCCCCACGGCCGTTAATTTTGGTTTTCTAGCCCGGAGCCGCTATTTCCTTGAAATAGCTCCTTATTTAATCTCACGAGGCTGAGTGGACCCCGTTCCAGACCCACTACTTCTCAGATAATCTGGTAGCACCGGGAATCGAACCCGGACCTCCGGATGTGAAACCATGAACTCTGACCACTAGGCCACAGAGGCGACCCGCTAAGAAGTATTATACGTGTAAATGTGTTATAAATTTTAACTTACGTTGTAATTTTAGAGTCAAATGAAGAAAATAAAGAAATATAAACTGTGCACTGAATTATCCTCTTGTGGTATGTTGTATTTAGGAGCCAAGTTATACTAAACAATAGAAAGCGATCGTATTTGAAAATATCAATGATGAACTTATATTTCTATATTGTTTACAACAGAGTCATATGGCCAGATTGTGCCGTCCGCTACATTACGCAGATAGTCAATTGAGAGAACGTGGGGAAGTCATAAGGTTTTAATTATCATCATGAGAAAATCAACATACCAATTTTTTTTCTATAGAGGAGATACATAGATAGTATATTTAGCATGTGCTAAGTAGAGATGGAAGTAGAAGAGGCACGAACAAAGTAAATCCATAAACAGAAGGAAACAAGGCGCAATTCATATAAGTACGCTGTAACGGCTGCTCGCATGCATGCCGTACACACGCCTCTCAAGACATCAGGATGTTGTCATGGAGATAATTTGGAGCAGAAATAAAAATCAATTGTTATTTGACTCATCACTCTTGTAGAGTCATGCTGTTGCGCAATATATTATGTAAATGTAGTAATTGTCTATTCTTGTATACATGCTATTTATATTTAACGTCTTTAATAATTTATTTTAATTAGAGTGTGTGTAAACTATTGACTTCTCAGTTTGAATAATTTTACATACGTTTAACACATATTCCAGATCATCTAGTGGGCACTCGCATAGAGTTCAGTATACTTTTCTTATAGGAACCAATACTTCCAGCTCGGACCTGTTCTTGTGCTTCCGTAGCTTAAAGGCTTTCTATGATGCAATGTCATAAGAAAAAATCAGGTTGGTTCAGGTCTGGGGAATATTGTGGCAAGATGACCGGACGCCTGTGACCGATTCATTTGTCCGGAAAATACACACTGGGTGTGAGATGTGAAGGAGGGGCTCGTGACGTTCTAATCACACACACTCGCGAACATTATGTTGGGCACCTCAAAAAGAACGTGAAGCCTTCTTTAAAAAATGAGTGTACGGGTTTCCAACGAGTCGATTCGCTACCACATGTGATCCGACCAGGGCTCGTCTACCATTCCGGTCCAATAGTTGACGCAACATCTTTGCTGAAACGAAGAGAGTCGAACAGGACGAAGCTTCCCCTGTGCCCGTTCAAGCAGATTATGCACAGTGCGTGCCCCATTCCGTGTGGATGTTCACAGTGAGTAACACAAAAATGAAAGTAACCCACAGTTCTTTGAGGACGCATTAATGTCCTCTGGCTGAAGCCTTTGTGCAACTGAAGAGGGAAAGGATACAGTTGCTTCTCATGCAGTGTATCCAAAATTGCAGGCCTGTATCATATGTCACCGGACGAGGGCAAGTCGACGGATTACACCTTCTTTCGTTCTGCACACTGCGTCTCCTGTGGTCAGAATATGCTAGTAATATGAATATAGTTCTTTACTTCAGACTGCGGTGTAAGGCAAGTTGAAGTTGTCCCTGTGCTTAATTAAGACGTATGGCGAACGGTAGTATAGCTCCACCATGCTTGACCTCGACGCTGGATTGAGGAGAGTCTTCAAATTTACATGTCGCAGAAAATAAGCGTCTGTTGCGTTCTGGACACCGACGCTGGTATTCTGTAGATGCAGTTCTAGCATTTCCAATGCAAAAGCCGTTCACGAACTGCGTGTCGTCATGCTCCACGCAGCGCCTTCTTGCTTCGCCCTTGTCACTAGTTTGCCGTGAGCCATATCTGAATGGAATATGATCGCTGCGTTGTGACAAAATTGAGGGCTATTTTCTTGCTGGAAAAATCATCATTGCAGGAACCTGGTTGTTACAGTGTGGGAGGGAAATGAAATACTACTTAAGTAAAGATTGTACTGCAATATATTTTGCCCTGAACTTAACGTATCAGCCGTAGGTTAGAAAGTTCTTCTTGTGTACATGCTAAACAGTCCGCATCCTTATATGAATTATGTAGGGATTGCTGCAGGGGCAAATTACGCCATAACTGTAATTGGAATTAGAATATTCATGCACATTAAGGCTGGGGCTACACGAGCGCACGAATTACGTCCGTTGCAACGAACGTACTTTATGACGAACGTTGCTGAGGACACCTCACAGTTTCAGAATGCGGTGCGTAGTTTTTTGTCTGCAGTCGAGCCAGAAGAAAGTGTAGCGGACGTCACGACGTTCGTTACAACGGACGCATTTTGTGCGCTCGTGTGGCCCCAGCCTAATAAGTAAACCGAACGTAAAAAGTGATTGTGATCTAGTACAGAACTCTGGGTTGAGCTTGGGAAGGAGAATTTTGGCAAATGAGCGGTTCAGTAGTTACAGCTGCATTGTGGGAGGAAGGGTGACACGCTATAAGTAAGGCTCAGGACTGGCACAGACACACCCTGAAATCCGTACCTGAGTCAGAGAATTCGACCAAATCCAATACGTATTCTGCAGGAAACAAAACACAAGGGCTGCAGTTAAAACTCCAAGAATTGAAACTTTTCTGTCTGAAGTAAACTTGCGGATGACACCAGAAAATGAGTGCCCTTCCAGCACAAGGGGGCACTCAACGAATATTTGCAATTTACAGAAATTTAAATAAAGCTTACCCACCTAATTCTTGAATCCACTGTCCGGAATATCAGTGCACGGTTTATTTTAATATTTCAGATATATTCACTTTTCTAGAAGTAACAGAGTGATCTGAATATGTGAGGGAATTGGGCCAACGGATGTCAGTCAGTGAATGCAATGGGGTTAAATAATTTTGCGGACTGAAGCAATAAAATAAGCAATAAAGCAATAAAAAAAATAACTGGTATTGATCAAATTCAGCTCGAATTTTCCTTACCAGGAGTCTAAATTTAAGTTCTGATATCCACAAATATATCAGTTTTATTTGCCATCATGTAATTTTAATTCAGGCCCTGCTTTCAGTGACCATATTTTAAGCGCAGATGTGGGGCTCTTGGCTACCTGAAGAAAACTCACATAACATATTTATCAAGAGATTTTAAAATTAATTTTATTTTATTTTCTGGATGTGATATCTGGATGTGTCTTTAGGATGCAAAGAATTCCGTATAATATTTCTTTTTATTATTTTCGCATTTTATTGATGACACTGTGCAATGTTTATCGGCTGTTTGTCATCTCTGGTGACGGGAATGTGACTGAGTTCGTGATTTATCGGTATCCTGTTCAGTCGACCATTATATGAGAATAGTTTTGTAGAGACAAAAAGTTGAATCACGATCGGGTCGACTGTTTGACGCGCGTCAGTTATCTGTTTCTTTCGCTTTAGTTAAGGTGTCCTCTGATATGTTGACTTAAACACAGGAGGCCGAAATTTCAGACAACACATCGCAGAAGGTAGAAAGCATTCACAGTGCACACTGCAGAAAATAAAAAGCCTCTTTCTTCTTACAGGTCACGAAACTATATTTAGTTGTCGCTTTTATGGGAGAAGTGAGGACAAGTGTATCTTGCTTCTGGTATTGCCTCTTAGGCTATTCAAACAGTGGCAGCAGAATATCTTAATCACTGCTTTGGGCATGCCAGAAAAAGCGTTAAACTTTTTAACTTCGAAGAAAAGTCTGCCTTTCTTTCGGTGTAATGAAGGAAATACAAATCAGGTAGAACTGCTTTTCTTAGTAAATGTCGACCATCCTTATATCCTGAAACTCTTATTAGTAGCCGACAAAATTGTATTTACTTTTATATTTAATGAATGGTAATATAGATTTCGTTTCATAACTTGTACCCTTCGCCAAGTATAATTTGAATGATCAAGACAAGGAGGATGAAGTTGGAAGGGCATGTAGCACGAATGGGTGAGAAGATGAATGCATATAGGATATTGGTTGGAAAGTCAGAAGGGTAGAGACCATTGGGAAGACCAAGGCGTAAGTGGGTGGACAGTATTAAAATGGATCTTAGAGAGATAAGATGGGATTGCATGGATTTGATTGATCTGGCTCAGGATAGGGACCAGTGGATGGCTCTTCTGAACACGGTAATGAACCTTCGGTTTCCATAAAATTCTGGGAAATTCTTGAGTGGCTGCAGAATTTGCGGCTTCTCAGGAAGGGCTCAGCTCCATGAGTAACTAAGAAAGTAAGTAATATAGATTTTTAATGGAGTACTTATGTAGAACATTTCTCGCGTAAGCTTACTACTTCTGTGGGCAATTTTCCAAGGATTTAGGAGAGGCGTGTCCCGGAGTCACGCCCACCTGGGTCGTCAGTGCCTTCAAACAAGTCAAGCTGAAAGCCACAAGTCGAGCGGGTAGTTCCTC